TTCCTGACACTCCTCATCGTACCAGTTGTTCTTTCGGGCTCGCTGAAATCCGACTACTTCTTCGGCGCCGATACTTATTCAGCGGGAAATGTGGTTCCACTGCTCGCATATGTCGGTTTGTTGAAGAGTGCTCTCTGAGGGAAAGTGTGCGAGTCGAGTAGCGAAAGCGCTGGCTGTCTGTTGTGATTGCAGCTTTTCGACGTTAACCTTTCCTTGCATATTTGGGCGCACATTTTTTGCTGCACAGAGGCGGGTGCGTATCTTGGCTGCAACAAGATAGTGGTCCGAGTCGATGTTTGGGCCTCGGAGTGTGCGTACGTCTAAAACACTGGAAGCGTGCCTTCCGTCTATCACAACATGATCGATTTGGTTTCTCGTTTTTCGATCCGGAGACAGCCAGGTAGCTTGATGGATCTTTTTATGCTTGAACCTAGTACTGCATACTACCATGTTTCGGGCCCCGGCGAAGTCGATCAGCCTCAATCCGTTGTCGGACGTTTCGTCGTGGAGGCTGAATTTTCCGACGGTGGTTCCAAAGATCCCTTCCTTGCCCACCCTGGCATTGAAGTCGCCAAGCACGATTTTGATATCATGACGGGGGCAGCGCTCGTACGTGCGCTCCAAGCGCTCATAGAAGAGGTCCTTTTATGCCTCATCCTTCTCTTCCGTCGGGCATGGGCGCAGATGGGCGAGATGTTGAAGAATCTCGCTTTGATGCGGATTGTGGCTAGACGCTCGTCCACCGGGGTGAACGACAGTGCTCGGCGACGGAGTCTCTCTCCGACCACAAATCCAACTCCGAGTTTGCGCTCCTTTACATGGCAGCTGTATTAGACGTCGCAAGGCCCCAGACATTGCTTGCCTTTCCCCGTCCAACGCATTTCTTGGATGGCGGTGATGTCAGCTTTTGTTCTTACGAGGACATCAACCAGCCGGGCAGAAGCACCTTCCCCATTAAGTGTCCGGACATTCCAGGTGCATGCCCTCAAATCTTAGTCCTTTAAACGTTTGCCGTGGTCGTCATCATAAGAGGGGGTCTCATCCGAGGCTTTGCCTTGCTTCTTCACTGGAAGTGGTTTTTACGTGGCGGGTCCTAAACCCAGCGCACAACCCATTGCTACCAAATTGCCAAATTTAAAAAAACATCAGACCTACAGTGTTTGTTTTCATACGGTTTGTTGTAAACACATTAAAATAATTTATTTGAAAGCACGCAATTCGGTCCAGTATAAATGTAAGTATTATTATATCACTTCATTATTGTATTGTGCGATTCACTGCATCGTAGGTTTCAGTTTTGTGATCGCTGACATTTGGGCGTGCTTCATAAGTGCATATTGTTACCCCATGGTAATGTGCCTCATTGAACTCGCCGCGAAGGCCTATGATAAAAAAAAAGTAAAAACGAATTTGTCACAAGATTTTAGTTTCGGCCTCTATGCTCACCAATATAGTAGATCCGTGCTACATCGTCACCGAAATTAGAAGGAAAATGTAAAGAAAGGTGATGAACGGATGAGAAAGTTACCACCCTGGAAAAGACAGAGAAAAATAGTTTGATATTATGTTAGTTGGATCATTTATTACTAAGTTTTTTTATACTTTTTTATACTGTACTTTGCAGGGTGAAAAGGAACCATGTTTGATGATATCGCACATTTAATAACACCGTGCGACAGAAACAAAAAATTTTAAAAACACAAAGAGGATAGCAACAGAGCTTCAAATACAGACAATCAATACAAAAGTAAACCAATACGTAGATAGTCAGGCGGCAATTAAGGCAGTTACCTCATATAGTATTTCATCCATAAACGTACTTCGCAGCCGGGAAACCATTGACAGGCTGGTCGCCGACAGAAGGCTGCATATCTATTGGGTACCCACAAGGGAATAGAGGATAATAAAATAGCACATGAGACTGCCAACTCTCGAACAGACAAACAACATTTGTAGACCACTTCAACACTTGTACAACGAAATATACGATAATACGATTAGGCAGTTTAAGGCTACATGGAATGAGTTAACCAGGGGACGCGAAACGCCCTGTGCCCGGGTGGGTAGCTCTGCTGGTGGCAAGAGTATAGAGGCAAAGAAAATAGGTTGCCGATGTAATTGAGAAGGTTAATAGATTTCGTTAGAAAAACCTTTCGTGTATAATTTTTTCATACATACTATGGTGTTCCGAAACTTATTTGTAGGAAATTTAATGTCCTAAAAGTTTGTCATTTATATTTTTAACCGACTTCCCAAAAAGGAGGAGGTTATCAGTTCGTCGGAATATATTTTTTTTTATGTATGTTACCGCATAACTTTGGATCACGTCAACCGATTTCGATAATAATCGGAAAGGTGGTGTCTCAGAGGTGGTTCCATACTAATCTGGTTTAGATCCGATCATTGGATCATGAAAAAATTAACGGTACTCCTAAATTTTTATATGAGAGCTGAAGTCGGTTTTGTTTTTTGCTTAAAAATTACTGTTTCTGTAGCTCTTGTTATTTTCGGGATAGGGGCAACAAAACGAGAATTTCATGAAAAAATTGGGTTCAGTGACCCGAGTTAGGATTACACCGCAAGGAGCATTTTTGTAGAACATTCAATTCTGAAGAAAACCCATCACTGACTAAGATTATACCATAAAATGCCTCTGAGCTGTAGGCTTTTGAAGAAAAAAAACTCAAAGTTTATGTGTATTTTATATGGGAAATCTTTGCACGCCTTGGGCGAGTACTTAATGTTAATATTAAGAGTTAAAATTTTCAGGGAGTTTTTTTAGGTGTTTTTACAAAATTTCGAGGTAGGAGTGAAAAAAACAATAGTCGCAAAAAAATCACCCTAATGTACATATTTCATGGAAATTATTATTTAATCAAATTTCGGAAAAATTGTACAAATTTCTACAGGGAAAACATGGCCGTTCATGAGTTCATGGATAAAAATGCAATATTGCTACATGGTTGAGCTGTTTTTGGTGCATTGCTGAGCGCAAATAATTTTTCACCCTATGCAAAACAAAAAAGCTCCTCTCGTTAGAGCATGACGACCTTGGAATCTAAGCTAATGAAGCGGACATATTCAGGAACAAATCCCACGCACAATTCGTTTTCACAACATCTTTCACAGATCCTGGATTTTGCTCTGTGCGCCTCATTATGTACTGAGATATATCTTTACCGATATTGAGTCTGCATTCGTCAAAATCACCATTATAAATCTACTGTTTTACCAAGAATGAACTTTTCTAAAGTTTTATAAAACGTTGCCGATTCAGTATCAAAATTACTTGTCAGGGAGCAAATAACTTGGTAAAAAATTTCATAATATATCTTCCGAAAATACTCTTTCAATTGGACTTACTTTTCTTCTAAAAAATTTTTAGGTGGGTAATTAATAATAATAATAATAATAATAATAATTATGTACGAAGACGGGAGGGGGAGACCAGGGAAACCTTGGAGCATCTTCTCTGCCGATGTCATGCACTATCAAAAATAGGACTAAAGTGCTTGGGAGCCAATCAAACCGAGAAGTTAGAGGACATCTCAAAAGTATGGTTGAAATTTCTACTTGAATTCGCAAGAACCGTTGACATCCTTTGTGATGTCTACTTTAACGCGTAAAAACAAGCTCCAACTGGCAATGCTAAGGACTACCGGTCTATGTGCGGCTCAACACCGTCCAGATTAACCTAACCTATCCTTATAGAGCAACAGTAATTTGTTAACTAGGCATAAACCACACTTCGATGGCTGAGTGGAAGATCAACCTATCTCAGCAGCCAGTTCAAAAAAGTTCAGGAATTGAAAGATTTTATTTTAAAAAAGTAGATATCTTGAAGCGAATCCAAAAGCCCGAAAAAATTTGTTCCCCAGGATGCGTTGGGTTTGAAACCTAATACTTCCAGTAAAAAAGAACATATCCCCGGAAGAGACCAACTACATATTTTTGATGAAGACCACGGAAATGTATAAAATACATTGATTTGAGGATATGCAAGGAGCATCAGCGAAAATACTAAGTTCACCCTGGTGAATGCGAGAAATAATCTTTAAATACCAGTTTTTAACTATTTTTCAGCTCTGACCCCCTCTGAATAGACGCTTTTCATAAGAGGTGGTTATTACTTATTTTGAACCAAATTATGTTTCGAATAGTGAATTTTCTTGCCTGCTCTTTGGGGTAAAAAAATCACCAAAATCATTTCGTTTTACATTTATTGGATTAATTCCAATCTCTTCTTTAAAACATGTTGATGAAAAATATTCTTCATTTGACGGATCCATTTTTTAAATTACACTTGCATAAGCACAAATAATATTACCAAATCTTAATCAGTGCCGATCGGAATCAGCTTTACGACCGGCTCGCTTTCAGCGTGCACTCTGCGAATTGATTGGAGGTGAAGACAGACAAGACGAAGTAACTCATGTGATCAAGGAAACAATTAGCGATTCGCTTACGTCATTGTTTGCAGTAATAATTTCGAAAAAGTAAATTACATACTTCGTTTATTTGGGAATTAACATTAACGCCTATAATTACTGGTTGTTGTTAATTATTATATCATTTATGGGATAATTTGGTATGTTATATGTTACAAATTAATATTTATTACATCTCATAAAGCTAGTAAGCATTGATAATGACCAATGAAACGTAAAACAATTTCTCTTTCTTGTCCGCGCACTTGCTCACCACGACGACCAAAAGGCAAGTGAGCTTGTTTTTTGTCAAGCATAACGCGAGAGGGTCAAATAAGCAGTCATCAAATTCAAATATCAAAATTTGCTGGTCGAACTTAGAAAGAATAAAAAGGACNGGGCTATATGTTACAAATTAATATTTATTACATCTCATAAAGCTAGTAAGCATTGATAATGACCAATGAAACGTAAAACAATTTCTCTTTCTTGTCCGCGCACTTGCTCACCACGACGACCAAAAGGCAAGTGAGCTTGTTTTTTGTCAAGCATAACGCGAGAGGGTCAAATAAGCAGTCATCAAATTCAAATATCAAAATTTGCTGGTCGAACTTAGAAAGAATAAAAAGGACACGCAGCTACTTGTAAGACTGAGGCAGGGAACGTGATTTACATCGCGCCATTGACTAAACCGAGCTGTCATGTGTTACGATTGGCCCAAGGTACATTGAACAGGTAGTATCAGTAGAGCAGCTGATTTGATTTATTTTCAAATTATTTGGTCTCGATAATGTCAAATATTTTTAATTTTTTTCTCACAAAAATTCTGAATTGTTAAAATCCATTTGCATGTGAAACCTTTTTCCATACAAAACAAGCGATTGTATAGCAGCTTTTGGAACGTTCGCCCAACTCAGCAGCACAACCGCTGATTACTGGCCCTTGTAAAGGATGGATCAATGCTTCGAGAAGCAAACAAATTTACTAGGAAAGAAAGTTGCAACAATTTTTATTTTTTCCAATTTCAATTTTTTATTTTTTATAATTTTTTGTATTTCACATGGCACGCTTTGATTTAGAAGAAAAAATTCAGAACAGTTTTTGACACTTTCGATACCAGAAGCAACAACAAAATACACGCAAATGTTGTTTTTGCTCTACTGATACTACCTGTTTAATGTGCCTTG